ACTCAATCCACTAGTAACTTGAATCTATCAAGCACCTATGCTCTAAAAATGAGTCTGACGAAGAGTTGATTGTACTTAAAAGTACCTCCGAAGTTTATAACCTCACAACACTTCTTAAAAAGTTAATGCGGTCGACGAGAGACACACCCTAACTACTTCACAACAAACTAATCCACAGTGAGCCTACCACCATCTGCGGACTTTTCAGTGAGTGGTTTGAGAACTTTGGTTTAGAAACTCACACACCTGGTGAAACGGCACCCCTTACTAGCTCCCCCCTCAGAAGCATAGTGTTCACCAATCAATTAATAGGACACACAGTTAACGGTCCCAGACCTTCTACTAGCACGGGACCGGATGGCCTTGATTCAATAATTTTCAAAAACAGTGGGTGTGACATTCCTCTCTTACTTCTTAAATTCTTCTCAATATCTCTGGACACTGACGTTTACCCTAGTGAGTGGAAAACCAGCTTTATAATTCCACACTACAAGTCTGGTGATAAGGAAAACGTTCGAAATTACAGACCTATAAGTATAACCCCAGTTATCTTGGGAATCATGAGGAAAGTTGTTGAAGATCATCTACTTGGGGAAGATCTTGTTTCGAGGTCTCAACGCAGGTTTCTCAGAAATAGGTCCTGCGTTACTTGTCACTTTGAATTTTTCGACTGCATCACTAGTAGCCTCGAAGCGCATAAGCTAATCGTAGTTCTCTACCTTTATATATATAGGGCATTTGACATGGTATCTCACAGCATTTTTCTTTGAGAAGCTGTGCTCATGTGGAATTCGCATTCCATTACTGAACTAGTTAAAGTCATTTCTAAGATACATGGTACAAATAACCAAAGTCAGATCTGTATTATCTCATCCTAGGCAAATCACAAGTGGGGTTGTGCAGGATAGTGTCCTAGAACTTTTACTTACAGTCTACATTAACAGCATTTGTAACTGCTACACCTCAAGTAAACCATTCCTATATGCTGAAGACCTCAAAGTCGTTTACTCCGGCTACAGTCATGAATTAAACGATATGATAAATAAAATACGCCTTGAACTAAGTGGTCTCGCAACATAGTGTTTTTTAATTTTAATTTAATTTTGATTACAGCTTGATACCACACCATGTTTTCAGTAGAAGTATGGAATTTTCAGCATGGATATCGGTAGCCCAAATTTACAGGCCGACCATAGATATCGGGTGTGCGTCGGCAGGGGATCGAACTCTGAACCATGTGCATGGTCGCCGAGAGTCCTAACCACTGTGTTCTGAATCCTGTCTGAAGTTGAACATTGACAAACGCGGGTGGATTTGCATCGGCAACAGTAACCTGGACCTAACTCTTGGACACTCTAGTAGTTTAACGTTCTCTGAACGAACTGATTATGCTAGACGTGAAACACGCAGGCTCCTAGGATGCATAACTCGCAGTTCCTTTAGTTATGAAACAAGGGTTTTATTATGCCAAGTATGTGTCCGGCCTATTTTAGAATACTGCCCGTTTATTCTTGGCGGACTGTGACAGAATGACAAGTTTAAATTACAGGGAGTGCAACGACAATTTACCTCAAGACTTCTTGGTTAAGAATGTAGCCTCGAATACAATAGGCGTTGCGACAATTGAAAATAGAACCACTCTGAAAAAGACGTTTTGAGCTGGACTTTTTTTTCTACCACAGGCTGACTAATCTTCTCTTGCACTCCTCCATGCCAATAACTAAAGCTACCGCTGTTATCTGTTACAACCTTGAAAATCATGACAAATTGTTTACTACCGGGCATTTTCAGACTTATATGCGGTACAGCCTCTTCTCAAATAAGTTTTCAGTTATTTGGAACAGACTACCAGCTAATGTGCGTGATGCAAACAAACTTCCAGTGTTCATCTCCCCAGTCACCAGACTGCCTAAAGATGACAATGCTCTCCTGCGTCTGACTCCTAAACACTCTTTTTCACCCCACATAGATGCTATAAGTTTGTAAGTGTTAGGTTAAACTTAAGATAGACCTCAAATAACCACACTTAGTAAATACTTCACCGCTTAATAACCTTAGCATTACTCTACCTAGCGTGTAAGTACTGACGAACGAAATTAAAGTAAAAAGACTTAAGACGGGAAGTGTGTCTGGGACGGAGTTGTATTTTACACGAATCAAATACCACTTTAAATAAATAAAGGTGTTATACAACTTAGCTGATGCCTCGACTGGGTGGTAGGCTCGAAGGGTGCTCTGAATGAAAGCACAACAAGGGAGCGAACCAGGTACGTACAATCACGTCGCAAATCAAAAGATGAATTTGCGCCGCAAATATAGTCTTACCCTGTAATACTGTAAGCAAAGATAAGATCTAATGACATTGTTGAGAATTTCAAGAAATGATTGTGGAACCAGTGTGTCTTCTCCTTTACCTAACGCCAGCCAAGTAAATCCTAGAGTACCTAACAAGTCAGTTCAAAATACAAGGATAAACTTCGTCATCATGGATTACTGTCTTACCCGACTAGTCAGTGACTCTTGGAACCCGTTCCCAAATGGAGTGCTGATGTGCTCAGTCACTAAATAAGGCGACAGACAACTTGAGGTGCTTGACAAAAAAGGAGTAACATAAGCTCGAATGTTATCTGTGGTAGATCGAAAATCTGAACCCATCGTTTTTGACGTTCTAATAGGCTTACCTGTCAGTGTTTCATACTAAAAATCGATATCTACTGAGTGCCTAATTTTCATACCTTATCATATGTGCATCTTCATGGTATTATTATTATTATCGATAAATCTGATGGCTGCAGATTGATATCATTTAAGTTAATGTGCGGGTTTAGAATATGTGCGTTACTTTTCGTTGACTGGCCTTTTATGTTTTTTTATGAATATTAGTGTGTTTTTGAGACTAGTGATTCGCTATTATAACACTTTTCGTTAACATTTTTCAGTAATGTCAGTAATAGCTGTGCTAAAATTCTGTTTAGAATGCATTTGATAAAATGTATGTATAAAATGTAGAAGGTATATAAATACCAGAATCAGGGGTATGTTATTGGCCTTGCTTAGATCAAATTATCTGTGCTTTAACAATCTTTCGCGATATTCACACATCGATGGAGACTAAGTCGAGCAATAATTTTACACTAACAGGTATGCGTTTCAGCAATATCTTAAGTTAGTTTGAACATAGGAGAAATAAAACTGTTGGACGTTTTCGTATTCAGTGACTCATTGGCTTAAAAACTTGGTTTTCAGCCATCGGACTGAAGTTTCCCATCTCTTGATACCTACTTCAGGCTTGGAGAAGTGGGTGGTGTCTCCAGCTTTTACAAAATGTGTGACTTATCGGGATCAGTCACATTTATTTAAGTTCATTGAGAGAGTATGGTAATTTTCATTTATGATATCACAGTGAGAATCGACTAAAGACTCATTGTGAACGATTAAAATAGGTACAATTAAATCTACCTTGAAGAGTGCAGAGATAATTGAACTGTATACAAATCAGATGTAGAAAAGCATGTTTTCATATTTAAGATTTGACAAGACTCCAGAAGAAATCGTTCACTGGTGTTGTTGTTTTGAGATATGTAGATACTAGGAGATCATTACATATTGATTTGTTTATTGGACATTTCACAGTGAAATAGTATTGTTATGATTATGATACACTATATTTTGTTCGAAGTCATCCAGTGAAAAAAAACTACTTCATTGTGTGATTTATCAATAAACAACTTAATATGGAATTAAATACGGACATAGTACTCAAGTTTTACACATCGCTAAAAATCGTGGAACTAATGAATGATAATTAATTGTAGATATGCGAAAAAAAGACAAAGCCATCTGGTGATCTCCGAATTTTAGTGGTTCTGTAATTGTTATTGTCTCGGGACACATTCTGCATTAGAAATATTTATAAATCTCACATTAAACATTTAGCTGTTGCTCATTGACAGAAAGACCCGAAATAAATTTTCCAAAATTCATGAGTTGTGATAGGTGGGGTCCATGAAGTCGTGTGTAGACGAATACTGGTGGATGAAATAGTTGGCGTGGTGGAGATGTTCCACAGAGATTGAGATTAAAATATGTAGACCATTAGACTTCTACCCATTGACTGAATTGTTAATGCTCGCTCCCCAAACTGAAGGTTATCTCCTGCGGTTGTAGGTTTTCCCTTCTGAAGAGCAGTGAATATGTGGGAAGCAGCTTAGAGAAAGGATAACCAATCGGAGAAAACCGTAAACAGTGATCGAATGGGCTATAAACACTTTAGCATTTCACAGATGGTAATGTTAATTTATCCGTAAAAACAATCGTAAACCGAAATAATGTGACCAATGATCTCCTTAGGCATTATTAAGTTTGTGGTTCAAAGCTAAAATTCAAAAGACTATCTGGTCGTTATATTCAACTCAACCCGCAAAATTTTGCATTTCTGTTTTAACTAGAAAGTCATAACTCAGTTGTTTTTTAATTTTATGTGTGTCTTTCGTAGATATAGTTTCTGGTCTCAGATGTTATGTTTACCAACTTGCAAGACATCTTGGCAGGCCTTTCAGTGCTGGCATTCATTCTTTAAGCTATCTGGCTGAGTTTCAACGTAGAATCTTGCACAAAAGTGCATCGTTTCAAGTAGCCACATTCCACGCAGCACACAGATAGAGAAAAGAAAGGAGAAAGAAATTCAAAGGAACTAAATTAAGCAGAAATGTTTAGGAGAAAGAATAGCAATTTGGGAATACAACCTATTGGGTCAGGGAGATTAAAAAGAGTTCGTAAATCTGCGTCACTGGAAACGATTATGAGTCATATCACTGACAGTTCCCAGCTGTTCGTTTTTAACATCTCTGGGACCCCAACCGGGCAGTCTATATTTCCCTTTGTGGCTCGTTAAACTGAAACAATTTTGAGTTCAGGGTGTTCGTAATGTATAATTAGTGAATATAGAAGTGGAAAAAAGGGTGGTCGATGGTAGTTCACTCCATGAATTCAAATAGGTTCTTTATTTCTGTCTCAAAACTAGTCGGTTTCAGACAAATTACTAGTTCTCAGATCTACAATCTATAGAAGTGTTAGCTTGTATTTCCTGTTCGTTTTGGATGTACATCTTTTTTATTCCCTAATAAAACTGAACGAATGCACTATACAGACATACTTTTTCTTACAGACATATATATAAGCTATTATACAAGTTTTTATTGTTAAACCTTTAGAAGTGTTCAAACTTGTGTACTAACTCCAATATCGCTTATTTTCTTAGATGACGGTATATAATCTGTACATTTATGGGAAAAATGGAGATAGCCTATATTATCGTGAATGGACTAAAACGAAACAAGGCGAATGTCCGTCAAACAATGATTTGAAGTTGATGCGTGGTATGCTGATTGGTTTAAAAGGATTTTGCCAGAAAATTTCACCTTTGGATTACGAAATTAATCGCTTCTCATATATCACAAATACATATCGTCTTCATTTCTATGAGACTCCTACACTTATGAAAATTGTACTTACTACTGATAATTCTTGTACACCAATGCATGAAGAACTTGAGGGAATTTTTCAGATTTACACTAAATATGTTTCACAGAATCCACTAGTTAAGTCTGAAGAACCGATTAAAAGTCAAGTTTTTACTGAGAAACTGGATCAATATATTCAAAGTTTACCTGTATTTAGCAAATAAATGATTTTTCCTATTTCATTGTTTTTTTCTCCAATGTTTGTTATTTTTGTTCCTCAGTTTTTGTACAGTAACTTTTTGCATATTATAGGTTACTAACTGCACTGTAATAACTCACAAGGGTGTTTAGCTGCCCATATCATGTTTGCAGCTTTGCGTACAAATCCATCAGATGGAGATATGATTACTACTGAGGCTTCTAACATCCCTGTTTCTACATGTGCAGCAAATACTCTCCCAGGCTCTGTGATAGGTGGTGTTACTGAGGAAGATAACTACTTGACATGGCATTTGATGGGTGAATATACCGGTCCAGTTGAATCTGTACTACCACGTGAATTCAGGCAAAGACTTCATAAGCATTTTGCGAGAATTGAGCGTGAATTCGAAAGAGAATATCGAAGGTTATATAGTGAGAACTTAGCATGTAAGCCAGTTAGTTTTTTTTATATTTTCGTTAGAAATACTGCTACGTTTTGATTTTCATTTTATTCTTTTCTTCGGCATATTTTTAAATGTCCATTTGGTGTATTTTTCACTTCTGGAATTGCTTAGTACTTTGTTGAGTAAATTAGTCAATTCAGTCAGTATACCATAATTCGAATATTTATACTAGTGATTCGCTTTTGCTCATGTAGTCGTTTGATGCTATTGTACTTATTTAATCAACTGTCAATGACCTAGTATCAAGTAATGACTTCAAATGGAACTAAGGCTTGTTTGCTTGTAGATATGAAGCAATGTGTATTTAAATCATGCGCACATCTGAAATAACGACAATGCTTTTGAGGGAACGTACAAAGTAAGTAGTTAGAATTTTTTCTTACTTTTTGTTATGTATGTAACAGAAAAGATTGTTGACAAAAGATTTTGATCAGTTGTCATATTTACTGACTAGTTAACAATTTCAAATTGACCAATATTATTTTCCTCTGTAAGTCACTCGGTCATTATCAACACACCTTGGATGACCGCCTACTGGTTTAAGTCGCCAGAAGATGGAGATAATATGAGGGTTATAAATTACTTCAGAACTAAAAAGGAAGAGTAAAAACAAATGGAGAAATGCGTTATTGCAGTTAAGGTAAAGGTGAGCTGTAAAAGCGTCTACACCGCTAAAATTTATTCCAAGCTACGTCACCTCATGTCTGACCATAGTTTCCTATCGTCCCCTGAGCGACAACCAGACAACCTTTATTTTCACAGGTGATATAGACTAACAGTCACTAATTTTATAGTTTGATACCACGTCTTGGCCTGAATTCTTCACTTTCTTCTACTTTCATTCTATTTCCGCTAAAATAGAATGTTGAATTAAACTTTTTTTGTTTGTGTATATGTGTAACACACTACTCAAATATATCTGTGACCTCAAACAACTGTGGCTTACCTTTGCCATTTACGTTACTCATGTGATAGTTTTACCAGTGTAGGTACTACAACATTAGTGTTGGAAAAATCTCTGAAGTCCAGATATTTTCTCTACAGTTAACGGTAACGTTTACTAAATGACGAATGAGTCTTTATTGTTTGAACAATATTCTGCTTGACAGGTGACTTTATATAAAATTTTATGACTGAAAACATATGAAGGTTCTTCGCTTGTATGGTGAAAAGTGGTTAGTATCTGAATGATCAGCATTCGAACTGTGAATTTCGGAGCATAATTCCAGTTGTTTTAATGTACTATGTGCTTTAATCAGTTATTTAGCTGCACATACTTGGATGAGGAAGTAATTGACAAAATTCAAATAAGAAACAGAACATTCTCGATGTTTAACAGTTTATTCCACGAAGAAACTTAAGTGACAAACCGTTTCACATTTGTATATCAACGAAGTTGTGTTAGGGTATATAACAAGGCTAATTAACGAAAAGAAATGGGATTTAGTGGTGATAATCTTAATCTTAGTAAAATACTTAGACAAAAGAGGCAATAAAACATCTAGGCTGAATGAATACGAGTAGAATAAGTGGCCATGCGTCGGCCATAGAATGCCCGCCAACCACTCAGGGTTCGATCTCCGGCCGACGCACTCCTTTACCTCCCTAAGCCAGTAACTAGACTGGTAAAGAGGGAAGGTTGGGCATGAGGTTAGCAACCCCGTCCCGTAAAAATAAATACCACTGTTACCGAAACTTCAAAGCTGTAGCTCGAAGCCCAGCGTTCCACTGGCAACGTAAAGGAATAAAATAAAATAAAGCAGCCATCCATTCTCAGTGCATTACCGTACCTGTACGTGGAAGTTCACAACTATTTGTATGGCTCAGAATAGCTCTGTTAACTATTTTATGGATTCACATCTATGAAGTTGTGTAAAATATACTAACTTATTGATACTACTGTACTCCATAACACCGTATAGTGTTGTTCAAGTTGAGTTGTTTCTTAAGCAGGTATTTTGATTTTTATAAATCTTTTAGTTTTATGCTAGACACTCGTCATAGCTTCAAGTAAAATTAAAGTGAATTAACCTTTGATGCGTATTTATAACATTTTATTATATTATAGTCCAACCTGAAAATGTGCAACCTGTATGTATTAAGAGCATTATTCATCATCTTAGAAAGCATATCCCAAGCAAGGAAAGACTAAACTACTGTTTTGACATAAATTAACAGAGGTGAAATAATGAAGTGAAAAATTGTTCCATCCTTTTCATGAAGATGAATTCCCGAAGTTATGTGTTTACAGGATGGGTGCTAGCTCATGCCACCTTCCTCTTCACCACATTTCTACGAGGAGGGGCTGGTCGAACCCGGACCATGTGCAAGGTCGGCGAGCGTCCTAACCGCTATTTTTCAGCATGAGCTTTACAAACACTAATTTCCCAAAGTTCGGAGAAATATGTCAAGAAGGTTTATCGAATTCTAATTGGCTATATGTTTACATACTCTGCCTAGAGTAGATATAGATAAGCTAACATAAAACTCTAAAAATGTGTCAGCCTTAACTTTCGAAAAAGAAAACGTTAAATATTCCTGTAGGAGGTGTTTAGAATTTTTAAGATGATGAAGACTGGGTTAGGCTGTACTACTGTAATCGATTTTAAGTAGGTTCACCATGAGTTTCCAACCAAACAACTTACTCTTCTCTATCGTGGCTCAGATCCTTAGTAAATTACTACGTCGATTAGCGCTCTGTTTTACTGCAATCACGTTGTACTCTTTTCCAATCTAACCCTCATTCAGCCAACAATGCTTGTCAAGAAAGGCAACGTCTTTAGAATGTAAATTGATAGCTTTATCTATCGGTCTTATTTTATCACCCGGTACTTCACATTTAACCTAAATACTGTTTAATCATGTTGTTCCACCTAACCTGAGCAATCGGTCATAATTCTGTGATCATGGCTAAAAATTGTAAAGTAAGCCAGTGTGTATATTGTTTTGCAATAGGTATCCGAATATTTTACCGCTATCAAGGATCACATAAGTTAGCAAATGCTACTACATAAATGTGAGATTTATGTGACACATAAACTTTTCGATTACACAACACAATACAACACAGTTGGTATATGTGCATTTTTTGTCAACTAATAATGATCAATGTTTAGACAGTAGTTCATTTGATATTTCTATCACACTTTCTATGCTTGAAAAACATTACGCATCGATCAAGTATGCCATTGTGTATTTTACAATTAATACTGATACGTAGAAAGTATCATTTTATAGTGTTGTTTAATAATATGAAGTTTGTCAAATGATTTAGACAGTAGTTTTGCTATTAGTCTTTTTGTAAGCCAACCACCTCTCTCAGGTTTTTAGTTATTTTAGTATATTTTATTCAGAAAATGACTGAAACAACACCATTTTGTATATTGTAGTATTAAACTGCAGTTCATAGACACTCCAGCTTATTGACAACGGTCAGTTAATGTGTACACGACGATTAACACGACGAAAATTAAGGGATTCTTTTTTGACTCTAAGAATTGAAATAAGTTTAAGTGTCATATCCAACTCTTTTTTTTCGCAGCAGTGCAGATAGTTATCATGATGTTGGTTAAGTTTGTCTGCTCAATGTGAACCTGCACACCTGTCTGTTATTGGTTGTTTTTAAAAAAATCTAAAAGTTGATGGGTCCACTAAAACTTTCTTCGATAGGCTTATGCTTTTCTCTATCTCACAGTATGCACACATATATATATATGTGTTAACAAAAAAGAATTATTTAAAACCTAAGCTTTCTTACTGCAGCTGTTCATTGAAATTTATCATATGGTGTGTATACAATTTTTAAAAATGCCTAGCCATCATTAGTTGGATACACCTAGGTATGTTGTATTACATGCATGCAAAATACTGATTTTATTTAAACTAATTTCATTGAAATGTGTTATATAAATTTTTATTTATTTATTTATTTAATGATGTTGTAGTGCAAGAGCGTTTGGAAAAATTTGAAGATGGTGATCATTCGGAAACGATAACTTTAGTGAAAAAATGTAAGTTCTACCTTCTGTGTATTATTTAATGTGCTCATTATTATTATTTTTGGGAAATGATATATACCTAGTCCATTTGTAATTGCGCCTGCTTAAAATAATCCGTGAGACAAGGATTACTTTGGTATTTTCTTAGCGATTTAGGGCAGTCTCTGTCTCTGTCTGGATTCAACATAGAACTGGGCACCGAAGTGCAGCAGTTCCAGTTGCCACGTTCCAAATAGCACACAAAGGTAGACAAGAAGATGAGTGAAGAGAATCAATAGAGTTTTGACAAGTATAAAAGTGAAACAGAATGAGTAATGGTAGAAAGGAATATGGAAGATTAAAGAGACCGAATACATCTTCACCATTGACAATGATTTTGAGCCATGTCACCTATTGTCTCCAGCCGTTGATTGATTCTTAGAGTCCCGAGGGTGGGCCCCAACCCGGAAGTCTGCATCTCCCTACCTGACTCAGTTTAACTGTCAGGGATTTCATGGATTGATGCCATGTTTTTGTTTGGCCACCACTTACTCTTTTCCAACCTGCACCTATATCAGCTAG